AAAAATAATCCCAAGACAGGACTGCCCACATCTATAGTAGGAGTACAAGCCAGACGTATGGGACCCAGACAAGACTGGCAGATAGACTTCACCATCATGCCACCAATGACTGGAGAGATTAAATTCTTACTTGTTTTTGTAGATACTTTCACTAACTGGATAGAGGTAGTCCCTTGCAGAACAGAGAAGGCTGCTAAGTAAGTAAAGCCTTACTGAGAGAAATCATCCCAAGGTTTGTTTTACCTGTCTCCATTCAGAGTGACAATGGAGGAGCCTTTGTGGCCCAAGTGGTTCGACAGGTTTCAGAACTTTTAGGAATAAAATGGAGGCTACATGCCTCCCGGAGGCCACAATCATCGGGAAAGACTGAAAAGATGAATCATACCTTAAAGAAAACAACGGCCAAAATCTGTCAGGAAACCAGCCTTACATAGCTTCAGGTTGTTCCCATTGCCCCTGTCAGAATTACGGTAGCCCCTAGAAGCAGACTCCAATTGAGTCCGTACGAAATGTTATATGGGAGACCTTTCCTCAAACCCTGGGATCCTGGGCACTGGAGTCATGCAGACTTGCCTGTGACCAGGGAACTAGATAAAGTCAGGTATGTACAAACTCTTTCTTTTACTTTAAAGGCTATTAACCATTATGCAGCCAGCAGACTTATGTTTCCCACAGATAACCCGCTCCATAACCTGAGCCCCAGAAACTGGGTGCTGCTCAAGAACTGGAATGTCCAGACCCCCAGCCAACAACTACGGGCTCAATGGGAAGGACCTTATAAAGTTCTCCTGGTCACCCACTCCTCAGCCAAATTGAAGGGGGTCCAACCTTGGATACATCACTCCAGACTCAAGCTTGTGCCCCAGTAGGAGACCGATCCTCCGCAAATCAATCAGACTGCTCATCCCTGGGACACCAGGAATAGATTGACAGGGGACAGTGAGTCAAGAGGGGCCCACCACCCCAATCTTCACTGGTTACATCAACCTGGAAAGATGGAATATGATATTCAACCTGTTGATGGACTAAAATTCCTGTAAAAAAAGAAGAAAGTTCCTAGCAGCTAAGTAGCCCCAGCTTTTATTTACTGATATTTTTTGTGCATTAGACCCAATGTGCCCTAAGGGAACAGACTGGGGTCGTAGCGTGACTCTATCTGCTATACTGGTTGTCATTTTCTGGGCTTGTATGCTTTACTGTATCCTCCTTGCTGGATTTAACCATTTTCTCTGCTCCAAGTAAGAGCCAGAGTACTTCTGTCCTCTCCTGTGCCCAAAAGATGAGGTCCCTAGCCCTTTTATACGTGTTTGAAATCATCATCCCAGCCATAAGTCAATGGGCTGATACTGCTATGATCAAATGGGCCTCTGACATAGCTCATAGTGAAAACCTCACCTCTTCTTAGATATGTCAGCAGAACCCAGGGAGTAACTCCAGCAGGCGTAAACCCTGGGCCACTTTTGTGAACAACTTCACTGGCATACCCCAACCCCTTCATTGGTCTACCCTCTCGGTCCCTTCTTCCTAGCTATGGGCTGCAAGTCTTAGTCCAATCATCTCCTAGTAACCTGGCCTTTTGTTTTCCCCTCATGTCCAGTACTTCCTTGACAATTAATTACACCTTTTATTCCTAGTGCCTTCAAGGGGCCAGTGCCTCTGCCCTCAGACCCGGGCAAGACCCGGGGAGCGTCCTGACTAGTGAGTGTAAACAGGTGATAGACGCTTGGAAGAACTTCAGTGTCGGCCTATGTCTTCTCTGTGCCCTCACTTGTTTTATTGAAAATAGGTTAAAGGCTACTACTGGCCTTTTGGTCCTCTGTACTCCTCCCCAGAGTGAGGGGCACACGCCCCTCCAGCCTCTGTACCAGAAATCTCAAATCCAGACTTATGCCAAGGCCTTTGTCCAACAGCGCCCCCCTTCGGCAGGAAGCAGCCATGAGCAGTTGTCATCCCCATTCCCATGACTGGCAATGGTACAAACCACAGGGGGGAGTTGTTAGGGACCCTAGAGGCGGAGGACACCTCATTAATTAGTACTCCACCAATTATCAGACCACTCCCAGTCACCTCCCCACCACATCACTTATTTCCTCTAAGTTGTTTTGCTGACTCTCTGGAGAGCCCCTGGTGGAACAGTGGTTAAGAGCTACGGCTGCTAACCAAAAGGTAGGCAGGCTGAATTCACCAGGTACTCCCTGGAAACCGTATGGGGCAGTTCTACACTGTCCTCTAGGGTCACTATGAGTCGGAATCGACTCCAGGGAACAAGTTTGGGTTTGGTTTTGGTCTGGAGAGCCCTGGACGGATCCAGATCTAACCGGTTCGGAGTGATCACACGTGTAGAACAAAGATGATCAATAGACGACCCCAGGCCGCCACACATGCTCCATAACAAAAGAGAACTCATGCCAAGGAATGAAAAAACTCATGTCAAAGAATCAAAATCACCAGACATACATCATCTGCAGTAGCCGAGACCATTTCAAAAGTGAAAAGTCCGTAGACGCTTCTATGCCGTCTTAGCTCCGCCCCGTAATAATCAATAGAAACTATCAATACGTAGAACTTCCTTATCCTGCCCACCTCCGTTTCTCCACCCCTCTATGAATATATATAATTCCTCAAACCTATAAAATGTAAATACTTCCTCAAATTGAAGAACTCAATCTGAGGTCGATACCTTTGAGTACCCGCTTGCTAGCCTGCAAAATAAAACCAGCGTCTAAGAGATTGGCTCCTTGCGTGCGGGGCACAGACCCATTGGTCTGGTTTCAGAATGATTCAGATTCATGAAGACCCCATATGTGCAGAGTAGAACTGCTCCATAGGAATGTATGGTTAACCCTATTTAAAAAAAAAAAAAAAAAGTACATATATGCTATACATTAGAATTCTAAGGTGAGGGGTTGGCATCATTCTCTCTACAGTGCTGTGAGGGGAGCACGGGTGGGTTAGTGGTAAAAAGCCCAGCTGCTAACCAAAAGTTCGGCAGTTCACATCTGCCGGATGTTCCTTGGAAACCCTATGGGGCAGTTCTCTTTCCCATAGGGTTGCTGTGAGTCTCGAGGGCACCTAATAACACAACAACAGTGCTGTGAGTCTGATGAGCGTGAACTGTTCAATCAGCCCTCAGAAAATCATTTCCTACACCTTATCCAGGCTAGTCTTGCTTACAGTCATTAAAATGGGAGACAAGTGCTAAGGGATGAAATGCACCTCCTCTCAAATGTTTGACTTGGGCCAAACAGTTACTTCCTGTTCCCTGTGCATGCACCTGTGAGCCTTTGCCCTATTCTGTCTGCTAGGAGTGTGCTTCTAGTTAATTCTATATGCCTACATCTGTGGTGCAGCACTGGTGGCATAGTGGTTAAGAGCTTGGCTATTAGTCAAAAGGCTGGCAGTTCAAATCCACCAGCTGCTCTTTGGAAACCCAGTGGGGCAATTCTGCCCTGTCCTATAGGATCACTATGAGTTGGAATTAACTCAATAGCAGTGGTTTGTTTGTTTGTTTTTAAATACCTACTGGCAGAGACATCAAGAGAAGGGGACAGAGATGAAAAGGAAAAGCTCACAATCCTTGTCTTCTAAGAACTTCTATCTTCTATCTATTGAGGGAGAAAGACAAGCAAACCAGAAGATAGACTTCATGAATGAAGTGGTCAATAGAAGTACAAGTAATAAAATGTACTAGAGGACACAAAGGAATAATCAATTTTGACTCCACAGAAGTGGCATCTGAGCTGAGCCTGTAAATTCTATAATTCTACAAGCAAAAATGGTATATTTCATTGTTTTTTTTTAAACTGCCTTTAGGTACATTATCTCATTGGAACTTTGCAACAATCCTGTGAGACATGTAGAGATTAGCACCCCCATTTTACTGATGCAAAAATTGATCTTCAGAATGTTTAAACAACTTGCTTAAGTTATGCCACTGGTAGGTGGCAGGGTCTGGATCTAACCTGCATGCTGCTCCTAAATTCAGAGGGAAAGGCACTCCGTGAAGTTTACATTCCAGCTGCCCTTCAGGCCCACTCCCAAAGTCAAATCTCCCAGAAAGTCTTCTTTGAGTCCCTCAACCAGTATTTTCCCTCCTACGAACCTCCAGAGCATTTTCTCCTTCTCTTAGGACACTAAATCACTTTCCACCTTGTATTATTTCTACTTTGTAATTTAGGCAAGAATTCCACCTCTTCTATCAGACTGCTGGCTTCTCAAGCACAGGATCTGACTCCTGGCTTAATGCTTGTTGCAATCAGCACAGTGCCTTGCACAGAATAAATACTAAATACTTTGTGTTATGTGTCAATGCTGCCACCCTTCTCTCAGCTACCCAGGTCATCTCAGACCTCTTTGCCCCTTCATATCTACCTAATTAGGCAACAAGTCTTGCTATTTCTTCAAAATTTTTTCTTTTAAATTCCCATCACCTACAATCCCAAGTACAGGACTTAGCTACTTTGTATCTAGACTAATGGCTTCCTAACTGATCACCAGATGTCCAGGCCCTTCCTAGTCTAATTTATCCTACAAACCACAGCACATTCATCTTAACGTACTTACGTTATGTCTCCTGCTTTTAAATCTTTAACTGTTTCCCTCTGCCTAGAAAACATTGAACACTTAAAGCTTTAATCTACCTTCCCAGTCATAGCTCTTACTCTGTTGCAAATGAACTCTTTCTTTTAACAAAATCAGTCTATTAGGCATGCCTTAAATATGCTTTGTTCATTCTCATCTCTACCCCCAACTCATTCATTATCCTTGCCTGGATACCTACCCCCTCCCCTTTTTTTTCTGCACCCATCCTAACTCCATCCCATCCACAGTGGCATAGCTCCTCTATGAAATCTTCCCTCACCACAGCCACTTTCTTTCCCTAAATTTCAACAAGCTTAAATCTGTATCACTCTTGGCACATATCCTGTTTTACCACAAATTGCTTTCTCTTCCAGGGACATGTAAACTCTCCAAAATAAGGAATAGTGTTTCTTCTAGCATTTAACTATGTTCAATTCCATAAACATCTGTTTGATTGCTTCACCATTACTATTTTCCCCAATTATAAAAATACATCAGAGACATGGACATTCCAGTGATTAAAATATCTTCTGTTCTCCCAGAAACATATAATATCCAAAGTTTTCTCTGTCACACACGCCCAAAATGTTTTCTGTTAACCATTTTATCTGTACTTCAGAAGCATCTTTGGTGCACTATGTTGGGTCCAACCTCTTTATATTCTGCAGCAGTGATCCACATGTCCTGGAAGGCAGACAGGGATGCAATAATGGAACCTCCCATCCACACTGACATTTTTCTTTCTGGGGGAGCTGTAACCTGCACAGGAGTGTTGGCAGGTGCCACCTTTGCTATATCCTTAACTAGCCGCTTCTCTAAACCCAGGAAAGATGTTGATCCCCCAGCAAGGATAATATTGGAGAAGAAGGAATTTCTCAGATCTGTATCACATTTCATTATGCTGTTGAAGCACATCTTATCGATGCCAGGGGCCTCAAGGTTCATGAGACGTGGAGCAAACAGGGCCTCTGGACAACTAAAGAGCTGGTCATGGAGCTTGATGGTCTTCCCATCGGGCAGTTGGTAAACTTTCTCCAGATAATCAGGTTTCTTGGCCATTTCCTCTTCATAGTCCGTTGCCACATAACAACAGGTTTCCTTAATGTCTGCGACAATCTGTCCATCTGCAGTACTAAGCAACATGATACCATGGTCCTTCAACAGCATCATGAGGTAGTTGGTGAGGTCGAGGCCTGCCAGATCTAGCTGCTGGACACCATGAGGTAGACAGTAACCCTCAAAGATGGGTATACACTGGGTAACCCCAGCACCCGAATTCAGCACAAAGCCAGTTGTGAAGCCTGCAGCAAACAGTGCCAGGACACCCTGGATGGACATATAGAAGGCAGGAACCTCCAGATGCTCAAAAAACACTTCACTGGTCTGTTGTCGGTTAACCAGTGGGTTTAGTGCTGGCTCTGTAATCAAGATTGGACCATCACAGGGCTTTAGCTTCAGGTTATTGTCATAGATATGCTTCCACATGATCTCCATGTCTCCCCAGGAAGTAATGAGACCACGTTCCACTGGATAGCTATAGGGAGAGCAATAAAATAAATGGCAGCTTTTTACTTTTTCCAGTTTCAATTCTCTTCAAACCTGGGTTTATCCCCATATTTATTACCAGTATCCCTATATGGGCAGTGGCTGCCACAGCCTCTCAAGGAAGATAGCTATCAGCAAAAATTAGCACAGCACCTTCCTCCGTGATTTTTATTGTATTCCTTTCTTTCTTCCTTTTGGAAGACCCTTCAAAGCTTAAAAGAACAAAAGTTGCTAAAGCCCAACATAATAGTAGATATAGGTTTGGCTTTTTAAAATTTTTTTTATTATGGAAAATTTCAAATATCCACAAAAGTAGAATACTATAATAAACCCTTAGGTACCCATGTCCTAGCATCAATAATTTTCAACATTTTTTTTTGTTTATTCCTTTCACGTATTGTTTTCTTGAAGTATTTTAAAAGAAATCCTAGATGTCATATCAGTTCACTTCTAAATATTTTATTTTGCATCCTCAACAGATAAAACTTTAAGTATTTGCCAAATATTTTAAAATATCACTGACACCTATCAATATTAACAATAACTTTAAAAAAATTATTTTCATAAAAATAAAAATAACAAAAATTGCCACTTTAACCATTTTTAAGTGTAAAATTCAGTGACATCAATTACATTCACATGTTGTGCAATCATCCCCACTATCTATTTCCAAAAGTTTTCATCACCACAAATAGAAACTCAATACTCGTTAAGCAATAACTCTCCATTCTCCCCTACCCTAGGCTCTGGTAACCACTAGTAAACTTTTGTCGCTATGCATTTGCCAATGCTAGATATTTCATATAAGTGGGATCATGCAGTATCTTTCCTTTTGTGTCTGTCTTATTTTATGTAGCATAATGTCTTCAAAACAAAAAACAAAAAAACCCAAACCCATTGCTGTTGAGTGTATTCTGACCCAAAGCAACCCTATAGGACAGAGTAGAACTGCCCCATAGGGTTTCCAAGGAGCTGCTGGTGGATTCAAACTGCTGACTTTTGGATTAATGGCCATAGCTTAACCACGGCACCATCAGGGCTCCCTAATACTTTCAAGGATCACCCATATCTGTAGCATGTATCAGAACCTCATTTCTCTATGGCTGAAAAATATTCCATTGTATTTATGTACCACATTTTGTTTATCTATTCTTCTGTTCCATGGAAGAATAGATTAACTTCGGTTGTTTCAACCTTTTGGCTCTTGTGAACAATGCTACTATGAACATTGGTGTACAAATACCCGTTAGAGTGCCTGCTTTCAAGTCTTTTGAGCTTTACCTACGAATGGAATTGCTGGGTCATGTGGTAATCCTATGTTTAATTTCTGGAGGTCGATACAGTTTTAACATCAATTAATTGAAGAGAATAACCATAAAAACAAAAGCTACAATGAATTAAATAACATTCTTAAATGAACTGGTATTTTATGAACGACAACTTTATTTTACGGTTGAATACATTTGTACAGATACAGAGAGCATGTAATGTTCACTGTTTAGATACTTGGTACCCTTACAGAGTTGTGGCCCATGCGTTTGCAACAACGCCCACTGGCTGGCATTCCTGTTACTACTTTATCCTTTCTCTGACTCAGGCGCCCTTCACCCGGACTCTCCCTCCCCTCCACACCTCCCCTGGGTCTGGCTTGCCATGGATCGCAGACCCGCCCGACCGCCCTAGCCTGGGGAGGCGGTACCTGATGGACAGCAAGCTTCGCCTGTCCTGCGCCTGGTCGCCCACGAACAGTCCCTCGGAGCCCTCGGCCGCCCAGGTTTGGTCCTTGGCGCGGCCAAAAATGTTCGGGCAGACAAACTGGGGCTCCCGGCTCCCAGCCAGGCCCGCCTTGATCACTCCCGAGCCGTTGTCGATCACCACCGGTAGTTGGCAGTAGCTCATGTCGCCGCCGCCGCCGCCGCGTCGGGTCGCCGGGCCTCTTCCGCTGCCCTGGCTGTGATCCGCTCTGGGAGAACCGACAGTGCGCGGGCGCGGCACCCTCCGCGGTGTTACAAGGCCCCAGTGATGCGCGGGCCCAACGGCCTGGAACGCCGCGTCACAGAGGGTCGGGCAAGGCCGTGGGGGCCTGGACCCGGTCGATGTGGGCTGGGGGTCCGGAGAGCCCGGGTCCACCGACTCTGGACCTGCCATGCGTCCCAGAGAACCGCCGGCGATTGCGTCTCGTCTTCGATGGGCTCCCTCGGGGATCCGGGAATACCGCTATCAGGAAAACCCGATTTTCCCCCCGAAGGATATGAGTCTAATCCTTCACAAGTGCATTTCTTCAACTTCGGAGAGCCATAACATAGTTTTATTTCGCAAAGTCGTTGAATTCCGATTAACAAGTGTCGGTCCAGGGTCTGCAGGAAGTTCAGGAATGCGCCCTTGACACTGGGGAAATGTAGGGAAGTGTGACGGGGAAATTTTAGCACTAGGAGAGGCACTCTTACTGCCCTTGCTTCTGAGACGCTCGTTGATTTCTAAAAAGAGAAAGGAGGGAAAAAATGCTAGGATTTAAAATGGGTTTTAAATGACTTTTATTATTTTTTTCTATATCCCGTGCAATGTTTTGCTGTGTTTCTTACCTGTGGTTCCTAAAGAAGATTTACTGTACTCAAAACCGAAGTGTTAGAATTTCACATTCTTTTAGCAATTTCGTCGTTTTATCCCCCGGTGTAATCTGGAAGCACATTCTCATTCCATAGTGAGATTCCTTGGGTCATATGAAATTCAAGTTTAGAAAAATTCAAATACATTGTGTACCAGAAAGTGCATCTTGGTGTCTTGCACACCCTATCCAAAAAAAAAAAAACCCATTGCCGTCGAGTTGATAAACAACTACACAAATAAAACCTCCCATTGGTCTACGGAAGCACAAGGAGGAAATCCAAAAGCAATTTACGCTTCCCTCCACCAGGGGCTCAAAAGGATCGCTTTTTCTCTAAAGGTGTGCCCGCGGTCTGTCTTTCCAGGCCGGCGGGAGCCCCCAACTCGCCCCGGACTCTCAGCAGCGCGAAGCGGAAGAAGAATATGTAATACAACACTTCTTTCCTGAAGAAGAAGGGGTGTACCCAAAGGAAGGGCGACTAGCGGGTGCCTGGTTTCTACAGCAGTACTCGAAGGCTTTGAAAGAAATCACACGCAAATTCAAACTTTTGAAATAGTTTCAGCACTGTTCATTTGGGCACATGGTTATTTTTCCGTTTCTGATTTTTTTTTTCCTGTTCAAAGGTACCGTTAATCCCACTTAACTCAATATTAAATAGTTGTGACGTGTATGTTACCATGCTCCATATGAGGACTTTCAAAAGAATAGCGCATAGCGGAGTTTCCGTAGTGTAGTGGTTATCACGTTCGCCTAACACGCGAAAGGTCCCCGGTTCGAAACCGGGCGGAAACATCTTTTCCTCGCCTTTCCACCCTGACTGGGCTTGTGCAATGTTCGTTCATTATTCTGCCATTTTTAAAAGGCATAATCTGGAGAGCAATTTGCGGAATGTTGGGAGTTTAAATTTTCACTTTGGGTTTTAACAGTCCAACCGGGGCTGTGCGATAGTTGTTCATTACTCTGGCTTTTTAAAAGGCATATATCTTGGGAGCAACTTGTGGAACTTTGGGAATATGAACTTTGACTTTGGATTTTATTTTATTCGTTCACCATATGTTTTTATTGAACGCTTGCCCCATGGAAGATGTGTCACAGATTTAAATTTTTTTTTTTTTTGGTGCACAATCTGATACTGGAAAAATAATGTACAGTCTAGAAGAGAAAATGAAACAGTGTAAAAAGAAGTGCCACCTCTTGATCAATCTTTGTATATAATTAATCAGATTTTCCCATAGAGACCATGTTTTATTCTTTTTCTAAAAATTCAGCGTCATGCTTGACACCAAGGGAAAAAAAGGAAAACCAATTTTAAGTGGGTTGCGACTCATGGGGAACCCGTGTGCATGAGAGTAGAAAAGTGCTCCATAGCTTCCAATAGCTGTTTTTTTGGAAGCCGATTGCCAGGCCTTTCTTCCAAGGCATCTCTGGGTGGATTCGGCCCAGCGACCTTTCAGTTAGCAGCCTAGTGCATTAACCATTTGCACCACCCAGGGACTCCTGGCGCCTAGTGCCAAAGAAACCAAGCCTGTTACCATCCCATCGAGTAGATTCCGACTCATTGCGACCCTATAGGACAGACTAGTTCTGCCCCCATGGAGTTTCCCAGGAGTGCCTGGTTGATTCGAACTGCCCTTCTTTTGGTTAGTAGCGTAGCGCTTAACCACTATGTCACCAGGGTTTCCGATAGAGGCTCATAAATATGTCTTAATTAATAAATTACCGAAAAGGGTTCGCCTCCCCACCTCCCCAAAAAAAGTGGAGCCAGAAAGAAAAGTATACTCAAGGAAGAAAGATGAAATCAAGAACCAGTTTGAAATAACGGTTGTTTTATTCACAAACATGATTCCTACCGAGAAGAGGAAAGCAATTAGAGGGCAAGAAGAGGACTATGGTAGCAAAAATCTTAGGAGGAAAAAGACGAATAAATTCAAGACAAGACTGTCCTTTAAAGTAAAGTCGCTGGTAAATTACTTACGGTCCCGACACATAACTTTTAACAAGACAAAAAATGTTGGAAGGTTTGGTTTTCTGAGTATAATGATGTTCGTGGATACTACTAGGGATAAATCCGCCGTAACATTTCAACACTTTTCTTAGTTCCTGCTCCTTCTGCATATTAGGGAAGTAGGTAAAATCTTTTTCCTTTATTTAAAAAATCTGAATTCGATGTAAATAATTATATTAAAATTTTTCTTGTCCTGGCGCCGGAAAACCTTTTCCGGTATAAAGCCCAACTTCCTTTAATGTTGCGCATGCCTAGTATGCCCAACCCCGTTGCTCCGCTTTCGTGTACCTCAGACTCCTACCAGCGCCAGGTAAGGGCATCCTGGTAACTGGGTTACAGTTGGCTGATGCAAATAAAACCTAGGGGGTCCAAAGAGCTTTCGGGTCTGTAAACGGGTAAGCGGTGATCAGTCTCAGTTCAAAAATCCCCTTTGGCTGAGAGCCCAAGAGTACACAAACCAGCTGTTTCTACTCGCGGGGCACCGAGGAAAGAGAGGATGATGGGAGAAGACGAGCAACTACAAGCCCCAGCATGAAGCGGGCAGCTCGACTCTGGAAAGAGGCCCCCGGCGTACTGGTGCCCGGCCTCGGCCCAGAACCCGGGCCGTACGAGATGCTGTCAGCCGACCAGAATGATCAGAATGAGGAGGACGGGCGGGGCGCTGTTAAAGAGCCCTCGGGCTTCGTATCCTTGACGCGCCTGTTTCGTGGGATCCCTGGCATGCGGGAAGTGGGGTCTTTGGGTCACGCCTCCGCGGTCCCAGAGTCTCCTGCGTTGCTATGGAACACTCGGAGCCGGACGTGACGCTGCCGTGGAGGAAGAAGGGAGAGGTGGAGCGTGGCGCGGTGACGTCCTCCCAAGATGGCGGAGAGAGAGTGAAGAAACTGTGTTCCCCGTTGGATTGCTATCGGTGAGTTCGATCTTCACCTCCAGCTCGCCATCCCGGGTCTCTCCTGACCCTGTGCTGTCGGAAGGCAAGCTTCTAGTATTTCGGGGCGAAGGTGTTAACGTAGAAAGCTTGGCTGAGACATCCGCGGGGGTGCTTTTAGCCACAACCTCTGCTGTGGGAATTTGCGGGAGTGGGAGCTAGGCAGAGGGCAGGGCGGCAGAAGCCCGGAAGGGACCGGCTTTGGTTGTCACTCTCCGATCCTGCCTCGAGTGAAGAGGCAGCAAGGGGAGGGGGTGTGGCCACCTCTGGAGGAATGACAGAAGCTTTGACAACCCTTCTCCCCGCGCATTTTCCGCCTCTGGGCGCCCGCCTTGCGCTTTAGAATAGCTGTGTGCACCACAGAAGCCAACAGGTTTCGCTGGTTTGAGAGCAATTTAAAGAACCCATATCATGTCTTTTCCCCACCTGTCTAACGAGCCCTTCTTAGTAGTTTAATTTTTTTTTAATGGGCATATAGTACCTACTGAACTTAAAAGTCTGAGGGTTCGCCTGATGCACGCGTGAAATTTTGCTGTGCTTTTTTCAGCTCACCGAAGTATTTTCAGTCGTCATTTATTGATGTGTGCAAAGAATTGTGTTGTTCAAAGTGAAATAAAAAGGGAGAAAGTCAGTCTCACCCCTTCAGCCTTTTTAAATTTTATCTGTTTAATACGGATTTTCTGTGGGAATAAAGTGAGACCTAACTTTCTTGTTCGTGTTATGTCCTCTGCCCCGTCCCTCCCCCC